GTAGACGTCGTTGCGTTGCTACGTTTTCTTTTCCTCTTCCGGCCTGCGTGCCGTGTACTGGCCTGGGAGACATGTACGTAGACTTCCTTCTTCGTGTTCTGGCTTCATACTTTGGCATCTGTGTGTTGATTGTCTGGGTCCTTGTTAACTCTGCCTGGTGGCTTTATCTATAAAGTCGGGCTATGGCCTTTTCTCTAAAAAAAACAAGTACAACAGACTCGCATTTTATTTCCATCTATGTCCCAGGAAGGAAACATCTTCAACTCCCTTTCAAAGCCCTGACCTTGCAACGAAGAAAATACATATGATTTCTATCTATCTATATCCCCAACAAAGAAATCATTTTATATTGATTAGATAGTGAGTAAATATATGATTTAGACCTCTTTATTTACATAATAAACTTTATAAATATGGTCTTAAACCTATAACTGAAATGAGTGATAAAAATAAAATAAAATGATGTGTCAACATGCACGGCTTGTTTAGATGTGTCAATGTACATGGGTTTGACAATATACTGAGGAAAGAGAAAAAAATAAAATGAGTTGGACAGAGTTTAGCAGATTGTGCCTCAATTGTGTTCATGTGAAGTTCACAGTTGCCGGAAGTCATAATCAATTGGAAGCATAAGGCATGCCTCACACCAAGCAATTGGAATAAACAATCACCACCAATATCTCCAAGTGATGTATCGTCTGATGGAAATAAAATTGTTTTGTGGCTAAAAAAATATGTTCCACTAAATAAATCGTGCGAAGTATACTTCATCTCACGCTGCAGGTGGGGGTGGAAATAAATGGGACTAAGAATCCCATCCCACTTAAATTGCATTAGTGGATTTCCACTGGACCGGCAGAATATTAAGTGGGCTAACCCTATTAGCCCATTGGAACCCACCCTAACCCCACTTGTTATGAGAGGATAGAGCAACCCGCCCGAGCGCACAAATTCCAGTTCCTGCTATGAAAAGGGTGGGGAGGTCGCGCGCGAGGCGGCCGAGCAGGGCGGCGGCGGCAAGGCAGGCGAAGACGCGCCCGGAGCCGGGCTGGCCCTGCGTGACGTGGCGGGAGGCGGAGGTGAGGCCGGCAAGGCCGGAGCGGACCAGCGCGGCGAGCTCGTCGGCCGCCGGCTGCAAGTCGGGGATGGGCGGGGCGGGGCGGCCGAGGAGGCGCGCGGCCCTGGACCACGCGCAGAGCACCGCCAACAGGAGGAGCAGCACGTCGGCGGCCAGCGAGACGGCCGTGTATCCGGAGGCGCGGTTGAAGAGGATCCAGGAGGCGACGGCGGCCGCCAGCAGCAGCGCACTCAGGTTCGCCCGGCCTCGCCGCCACAGCACCACGTCCGCCAATGCGAATGATCGATCGATTGGTTGATTCATTCATTCATTCAAGTTTGCGATTGCTATGACTCGGTTGCTTGCTAGCTGATACATGGATGAGGCGGAGAAGATAAGAGGAGGAGCATGAGGTTAATTACCGACCGAATTGTCCGGCGTGGTGATGGCGGCGGCGATCCATGTCCATGGATGATTCGAGGCAGACCGAGAGGAGAGGGTTTGGTACTGGCCGGGTTGGAATTTGTTTGATGAATGATCAAAGGAGGGAGACGTGCAATTCACTTTCCCAAATGCTGCAAATTGCAATTTTTCGCTGGAAAGAAAGAAACCGGAAATCGCAATTTTTCTCAGTTATGCATATGATGCATCTGTTAAGTGGGATCCCACTTATTCCCACCTATTATGCGCTAGTTTTGATGGGACATCCACTTCTTTTCCATCAAGCCGTGTTGGGACTAGGTGGATCAAGGTGGGATTCCCAGGAACAGTCCCACTTGCAGCGTTAACTTCATCTATTACAAAACATAGGACTTTAACCGGCCAAATTATGTTCCTAACTGGTTGCGGCGGAACAGTGAAGTCGTCAAGGACATGTCCTGCCCGTCGATGAGAAGAAGCGACAGTAGTCGGAACATCGGCATTTGTACTGCCACAGTTGAATGTGTTGATTTTAAAAGCTTGGGACTGTCAGTTTCGTCTCGGTCGCTCGTCGACGGCGCCAGCACGTTGCTACTTCCTGGCGACACATGCACCATTTCTCCACGTCGCACTTTGACGAAAAAGGGTTTCTCCGGCTTTGTATTACAAAGCAACCAACCGATACAGTCAACGATAGGTGCTGGGACGAAAGCAGCACAGACACGCGTAAAAGAAATGAGAGAGAAAATACAAAAGAAACAAACGCCGACAACGACGGATCGACAAAAACACGAAGAAGCCTCGCAACCACTGCGCCCACCGGAGATCTCCCACCAAGCTCGTGGACTCTGAAGCGCCGGTATCAATCAACGCCTCCAATAAGGGACGCGACGATACCGACACTGTGCCAAGGGTTTCCCCCGGTACGCGACGAAGAGAGAAGGGTAGCCCCCGACACCCTTCAGGAAGGTCCGGCAGCACCCTCAGGTGCCACCGGGTCAGTATCGGCCAGGCCGACAGGGATTTCTCCCGATCCCGACCTTCACCTCGGGCGCTTCGAAGCCCGCCAACGAAACCGACCACCACCCTGCGCCACCATGGTCTTGAAGCTTCTCACGCCATCTCACCACGGCACCACGAAGAGAGGTCTGCATACCGAAGAAGAGGAGCCGGGACTAGAGGCAACAACATCGTCAGCACGCGGGAGGGTCCCACCTCCACCATCAACGACGGTAGCCGACCGGACGCAATAGCAGGAGTACACCAGGCCCATGGGCCCACAGGCCCGGCCGGGCCACCCAAGGCCCGTAAAGCTCCCGCCTTCACGCTGCAGCAAGCACGCCGACGGCGACGCCGCCCCCGGTCCGAGCTGCTCCACGTCCGCAACACGCGGAAGACAACTAAGCTATGCCGGTGGCCGACCCGCTAGGACCCAGATGGGGCCCGCAGGGCCCAGATCTGGGCCGGGGGTGCGCCGTCGGCCACCCCGCGCAACCAAGTTGCCCCGCGC